ATTTGAGAGCGTCCGACACGGCTCGTTGACAGGTGCGATCCGTTCCTTCGGCACCGCATTCCCGCAACGGATCCGGATACGATGCCCCGCACGGTCCGATCAGAAATGTCAGGTTTGTGAAGAACGAAATGTTGGCGGAGGCGCAGAGACTCAGCCGGCACGCCGATACCAGACTTGATGGCGCTCCGACTTTGACGAACGTCGCGAACAGGAAGGCGGGCAGGAATATCGCGTACCAATCGACTATCGGATGCACGTTCGCCTGAAGAAGAACGTCCACCACGAGCGAAGTCGCGATGCAGGACGAGATCAGCGAACATAACGTCGATTCTTTCATCATAGGTGGCCAGCCGCGTCGGTGACCGATGACGTTCATACTGAAGATAGGAATCCTACCTTTTTTTTCCTAAGGAAGGGGAGCCTGGAAGTGAAAATCGACCTCGCCATCTGCCAGATCGTTTCTGACGACGGGAAATCGAGCGAACCTGTACACGGCGTTCATGCACCTCCGGAATTCGAGCGCGTTCTTCCACCCTAGATCAGAGTACAACTTGCGATAGGCCGCCGAGGTCAGGACGTCGCTCGCCCTGAGTACCGTCTCCTCCCCTTTCTTATCTCTGACGACCGGTTCGCCGAAATAAAACGCACCCGATTCGCCGGGTTGCAAAGGAAGCAGCCTCTCTCTCACTTCCGTCGTGAAGTCAACGGATCTCATGGTGATTTCGCGAAACCGCACGTCCGGTGCAGGGCGCGGCAGGGGCAGTACCAGTATCCTGTGTCGTTCCGTGGTCCTCCAAGTGGGTTTCCTTGCGCTCGCCCTCAGCGCTCTTCGGTATGATTCGGGATGCGCGTATTCCGGGTGGTTGGTGAGCAGCACCTTGTAGAACAAGGCGCTGACGTCCCGAACGTCGAACGTCGTCTCTCGATCCCCGTACCTTACCGAAATGTTCGAGTAAGGATCGCCTTTCCTTGCGCTCGCAACTGCCGCGGCTGATGCTGTCGCGAACGCGAATCGGATGCGATCGGGATTCGTGCAGCACAGTTCTCGGTACACGTACGCGAGGAGTCGGTGAGCCGTGAGAAATAAGCTCCCTTCCTCCTCGTGGTAACAAACGAGAGTGTCGGCATCCATCAATATCCACTGTTTCGGGCGGACTACCGATCGCAGAGCTCGGAGAGCTTGCTCGGTCGCCACGAATTCCGAAAGCTTGATATCCGAGTCGCCGTTCGTCAACGTGGGCAGGATATCGTCGTCGTCGTCTTCAGCTTCGTCGGTCACGTCCCGTTCGATCACCCTCCACCCATCCCAACCGGTCTCGCTCAACCTGTCGCGAAGGGTTACCTCTCGGTTTCCTTCGTGACCTGAGACGAACCAAGAAGTATCTAACCTGATCGTCTTTATTTTGGCGGCTGCGGCATTCCTTGGATACGCTAATCTTCGTCTTCGTGTCCTTCTCCATGGCGAATTCTTTGTACGGTGTGCCACCCTTCGAAGGTTCGCTGTGATAATGAACTTGAAAACGCTACGTCATCCGTCCAAAGACCGCTGGCGTACC